TGAATACTTCATATACAACACCACTGGAAACACGTCAAGTACTTTGGAGCAGGAGCTCCTACTACTTCTGATTTGCAAAGAGCTTGCGGTTGAAAGCTCAGATCCTGTAGCTGGGTCTCTGGAAGTTTTGCCTGCTTGCAGAGGCTTTACAGGGCTGCAAGACTAGGGCCATGGGGGACAGGAGGCTTATCCATCACAGGCATGCAGGGGAGGAGGCATCATGTTGTCCAGTAGGAAGTCTTTGGGTGAGGGTTGTTGTTTGTTTTTTGGTTTTTTTTTTTTTTTTTTTTTTTTTATTGAGTTAATTTTTTTTAATGTAGTTAACATTGCTTATGTAACCTAGTTATGTACCACTTGAGGTAGGGTGAGTATTTACCCCCCGTTGTATGTAACACGGATTTAATTTTCTATAAATAATTTAACTACTTCAGCAATCCTGGAGGAAGAACTGTATCTGCGTATCAGAAAGTCTGAAGAATTTTTGAAGTCTCTTCAAACAGCATGTACTTTTTCTTTTGCTGTGAGAAAGTATAACAGGATGTCTTTTGCCTTTGGAAAAAGACATTTATAGAACCGACTTGTGCTTCCTAATACTAATAGGATACTGCACCACTCCTTTTCTCTTTTACAAATATATGAAGTGATCAGCTCTATTACAGGACAGAAGCAGTGAGGTAGTAACTGAGAAACAAGAAGATCCTTTTCGCAACTTGCAGAGAGTCAGAAATTCTGGGCTGAAATAAGCTTTACCTGGACAAAGAGAAGGTTGTAGGGACCTGAAGAGTAGGTGGTAGAAAAAAGGGCTACTAGGTAATCACTAGTAAAGTCATTATGGTACAGTATCTGGCTGCAAATTGATCTTGTTAACTATGATCATGGCAGATCTATTTGGCTGGTCCCACCTGGCTGAAAAGCACAGCATGTCTTTGGAGTCTCCTTGAATCACAGGTTCATGTGCACCTAGCACAGTTCCCTCTTTATTTGGGGGTCAGGGCTTTTCTTTGGGTGCTTTGGAGATCAGGCAGGGGGTTGACCTCTTGAGGTGTTTTGTTTTGACTGTACCTGCTGTGCGAGGGGATGCTTCAGTTCTGACTGGAGCTTTGGGATGAAGCCTTAACTGAACTCCAGACTAAATGGTGAGAAAACTAGTAAGCACTAAAAACAAATCACGCTTGGTTACTTAAAGGTTTTATTATACTGGTGCTGAGCAGCCACAGATGGACTTGGGATATGTCACGTGAAGCAGTACACAAATGTCTGAAAGATAAGGTGGGAACTTAAAATATAGGGAGAGGGTGTTGATTCATTCATCCAGAAAGAGTAGAATGCATTGAAAGATTAGGATTTGGATAGGACGGAGCAATGATATAATACATTACACTTAGCTCTAAAGTGAGACATTCTTGAATTGAGGACTTTGGCTGTACCATGCCATTCATTACTTAATGGGTTTGTAAAGAAGGTTATCATTGGTTTTGTGGTTGTGGAAATGCAAACTAAACAGTAGGCTAATGAAATCGGTCTGGCATGCTTCTGCCTCACGAGGCTGTAGGTACAACATGAAAATGAAGGTGCAAAGTTAGCTGCACCTTCTTTGTAGCAGCTCTTCTTCCAGGTATCAATATATAACTTCCCTTACAGCGTTTCTTCTGAGTAATGATGGGAATAGTGATTAACTGTGCTTAGTGGTGATGACAGTCCAGCTTTAAATAATGTATGGAGCTTCCCAGCTGAGGACTTCCTGAGCCTGAAATAAAAGTGCTTGGAATCTAAAACATTTCGTCCAGCACACAGGAAAAAAAATTGTATTCATAAGTCTGGGCTTTTGAACAGCAAAATACAGAGGCCTAGAGAGAACTTAGTTCAGTCTTAAAACTAAGTTCTTAAGAATAATCCAGCTCATCTGTCACCAGTGTGTTTTGCTTCAGTCAAAGTAATAATACAAGGGAGTTTATTCATGTCTCCCTGTGTTCTCCAGACCAGAGAGCACCTAGGTAAGAATGGTGCAGACCAAAGCAGCAAGTGGGTGGATCTTGCCTCCATCAGAGGAGGTAATGTGTTTCATTGTGCTGGCTGTGGGCAGCGTGACCATGGATGAGGAAGGTCTTTGCACTTGCAAGCCAGCTGCTGTCTGGTGGTGCAGGCTCTGAGCAGAGGATGGTGGTGTCCCACAGTGCTGGTCCTCATCACTGCAGCCTCTATCAAGAGCTCTGAAACTTGTACTCTGTTGTGTCTGCCAGCTTTGGTCACCTGGTGAAAAATAGGTGTTATGTCTGCCTGCAGAGTACTGTTTGTAAGTGTCTGCTTCATAATAACAGTGGAAGAGTGCTTGGTTCCAAAAGTAGGCTTACGAAGCAAGCTCTTCCCTTGCATCTTTCCTTACATCCTCTGTGCGCTAAACCCTTTTGTACGCTCCCTCTGGGATCTTTGGTTACTTCACTGCCTGAAGGCTGCCAGTGAGGTAAATGCAGGGAGAAAAAATCCATGATATTCAGAAAACTTTACTTTTCTAAACAAAAAAACAAACACCACGAAGTAAAAAAACCAACCCAAAAAAAAGAGCAAAAAAAAAAAAAACCCAAAACCCAACCAAAAACTCAGTTATTAACCACAGAATCACAGAAGGGTTTGGGCTGGAAGGGACCTTAAAGATCTCTAGTTCCAACCTCCTTGCCATGGGCACAGAGGGACACCTTCCACTAGACCAGGTTGCTCAAAACCCTATCCAACCTGGCCTGGAACACTGCCAGTGATGGGGCATCCAACCTGTTCCAGTGCCTTACCACCCTCACAGTAAAGAATTTTTCCCTTGTATTAAATCTGAATCTTCCCTCTGTCAGTTTAAAGCCATTCCCCCTTGTCCTATCACTGTATGTCCTTGTAAAAAAATCCTTCTCCGGATTTTTATGGGTTCCAGGTACGGGGCAGCCACAAATCCAATTAAGGAGAACTGAAAAGTGAGGAAATGTGGTCTTGCTCATCCTAAGTATGCCATCATGTCCATTCTCCCTCTTAATCAGTTTAGGAGGCTGACCCTGTTTTTTGCCTTTGCTGTGGAATGAAGTTTTATTTGAATGTCCTGAATGTCTTTACTGCTTCTGCTAATTATTTTGTCAAGTGTGCTCCTCCCTCTATGCCACCCTTCCAACCAAACAGCCCATGTGCATGGGCTTGTCATGCTTGTGGGAAGGCTGGAGGAGAAAAACTAGCTTGCTCTTCAGTTAATTGCTGCATCTTGCTAGTTTCCCACTGAAATTAACATAAATGTTTATTTTTTAACCTTATGTAAAGGCTTTCAGTACTGAATTGTTCATAACTGAATGTGTAATATAACAAAACAGGCCAGATTTCTTTCTTACTCTCTCAAGGGGCAGAAGTTTCTTTAAAATGTGGGAAAGATTTCCCCTGAAAACCTCTGTAGACTGACTCTTTATAGCAAGACACAAAGGTGTTTTTGTGATGATGTTGTTTCAGTTCTGCTCATGCATCCAAGAAATATGCTTAGGATTGAAATAGATTTGAATAAAATGTGCTTTTCTAGGAAGAAACATCAGATAAGGAGGATTAGGGAGTTCTAGCAACTTTAAGCTTGTTCTTTCTGTGCTAAATTCCTGGAATAAATCTCTGTGGTAGTTTATTACAGTAAAACTTTTATCATCATCTGTGGTCAGTTTGACTAATTCTTTCAATTGATCTAATTGCCTTCCTGACACAGGGAGATTTTGGGGAGTCCTGTTCTGTCAGCCTCACAAACTCAAACAGCAGAGGGTTTTGGGGTCTTTTTTATTAAAAAAGAAAACTTGAATGCTTGGGCATATCTGGAAAAGTAATTTTGGGTGTTAGCTTCAGCGTAAGTAACAGCACAATCTAAGAAACATCTGCAGAGGAGTGCAGAGGTGCTGTGAGCGGAAGGTTAAGGGTTCTGGAAAATCCATGCTGGCAAGCACACTCAAGGTAGGCAATACTTGGTGGTCCCAAGGAGGGTCCAGGAGGTAGGGGTCCACCAAGCCCCTTGACTCTGGGTGCTGCCTAGGCTGGGGTTTGATGCCCTGGGTTTATGGCTGAGAGGGAGGGAGCTGCGTGGGAAGGCTCCCAGGACCTGCAGCTCTGAAGAAGTCTGTGTCCCGCCTGCCTGGAGCCACAGATCCTGGGAGCCTCAGCAGTGGATCCCTAATGCTGACAAGGACATAAATTTTGCTGTGCAGCTGCAGGCTCCCAGAAGAGTTTGATTCAGGAAATGCCATCTGCTGGTATTGTGGAAACAGTAAAATTTTCTATGCTTTTCTCTCTTAATTTGCCTGAAATAATCAGTTCATAAAAGAAATCTTTCCCTCCCTCCCCCTCAAGAAAGAATGGGTGCATTATTTTAAAACAAACTATCAGCTGTTGTGTGACTTTTTTTTCCAAAATAAACTTGACAGTTGTTATAGTATACCAGCATATAGCAGTGTTCACAAACTCTGTATGTCCTTGAGTCTTCCCCTTCCACCTTCTGTGACTTAATTTCTTTTCACAGCATAGGCATAGGACAAGAAGTAACGGCCTTAAGGTGTGCCAGGCTAGGTTTAGATTGGATATTAGGAAAAATTTCTTCTCCAAAAGGGTGATCAGGCATTGGAACAGGCTGCCCAGGGAAGCGATGGAGTCACCGTCCCTGGAAGGGTTCACAAACTGTGTAGATGAGGCCCTCAGTGACATGGTTTAGTGGTGGACTTGGCAGTCCTGGGAGGAAGGTTGGACTTGATGGTGTTAAAGGTCTTTTCAAACCTGGTTGATTCTATGATGTCATGGTGCTTATTAAAACCCTGTAGTTATTTAGGTTGTAGCTGGATATTAAACTTTTTCTTCATACTTCTGCACATACCGTAAGTTGGAGTCATGCAGCTGATGCCACAATTCCACTGACAGAGAATATGAGGTGTCAGTCCATCTTGCCTTGCCCTGGAATGGTTCCACAGGCAGATGGAGGCTGGCAGGGATGAAGGGATGCATGGGCACAGAGCTGGTGAGCTTTCAGGCTGTGCTGCTGCAACGGTGAGTGGAGTGAGCTTGAATGGACACTCCAGCTTGAATGGATGCTGCTCCAGCTATGGCACCTTGTCTGGCTGCTTCATCTCACTGCAGAAAACCTGTTATAGTATAGTCTCATAAACGCTGCTCTCTAGCAAAACTGGTGTGTGGTTTTTTGATCTTAAATCCGCTTTCTCTCTCAGTTAACTAAACATTCTTTGCCAGTTACTCATTAAGATGGGCCACACCTTATGCTTTCTGATTGAAACTCACTGGACAAAAGGTACAAGCCCAGAATACATGCAGCTCTTTCTAGTTTGCCTTGGGGTTGGGTTTTTTCAGTATCTTACTTTTTTTTCCCCTCAAATTTTGAGAGCCTTTGGACTCTGCTTCAGGAGGACTTGCAGCCTGTGCCACACTGTTTTGCGCTGTGGTGGCTTTCTTTGGTTAAAGCTTTCACAGTGGAGACAAGATCCCCCAAAAGAGCAGATGAAGCTGTGCTCTCTGAGTCTGCTGACTGTATGAACTGTGCTGAATTGTGTGTTGAAAAGCCCTAGGAAGTGTTAGCGTAGCTGAAGTATGCAGTAGTGAACAGAAGCAGGAAGCGGGCTTGCTTGCCCCCTAATCTTAAACTGTTTCCTTTACCCTGTGGTGCCAAAAAATACCCCACTCAGCACTCTGCCTGGCTCCTGAGGGGTGTACCTCCCTCAAAATACACTGCATAAATACCCTGCAGCAGATATGATGGTGGAAATACAGAGTATGCATTCGTATTTAATACAGGCAGAAGACAGATTGTTTAAATGGTAGCTAAATCAGACAATTTCATATCTGAGCATCTAAAAGTAAAAAAAGCTTGCTTTTTGAAGATACTAGGTTAATTGTTTTCAATTTCATTTGACCTGCAATCTTTCTGAGATATCAGCTAGAAATGTGGATCACTGCAGAAGTCTGCATAGGACACCAACCAAACAAAAAATGACAGAAACCCCACAGTGTGAACTAGCCTTTGCAGAACGCCTTATTTTAGGTGTAGTCTCTAATCATCACAGTTTGTGACCAGTGGGGCATTATCACCCCTAGTATGTCATTCTGCAGTTAGTGTATCTGACAGCAGCCCATGCTATAGGCAAAAGAGGCAGGAGTTTATCGCTTCCTTCCTTCTCATCTCTCGTCCTGGCACTGGGCGTTTGTGTGGCTGTGCAGTGAACCAGTTGAGGGGAAACTGATCCTGTTAAATCTTTTTATTTATTTGTTTTTATTGAATTAGCTTCCAGTCAATTGATTGCTTGTTCTGGTTCTCTGTGCAACCACGCGAGCCTGGTTTGCTGCATGAGCGCCAGCATCAGCTCAGAGGAGGAGGCTGCAGGATGGAGGTGTGATCTTAGGCCATCCCTTCTCACAGGGGCTTGAACTTAATCCGTGCTGGCACCTGCAGCAGTTACGTGTTTGTTCTGTGTGTCTATACACCTGTGTGTGTATGCCCAGGCTTTGTATGGGCAATGTGCTCTTACTGAGGATGTGTTTAGGATGCTCGTGCTGAAGGGAGATGAAAACAGTGAAGCCAGAGCAGGCTGGAGAGAGCAGGAGAGGTATGGAGATGAGTCCTGCATAGGGACATGCAGGAGTGACACCTGGAGGAAAAGTCTTGAGAGAGCTACCTTGGATGTGAAGGTTAAGACACATAGACATGAGGCGGTGCTGTTTCTCAGCACACCTTGGAGCCTTTCTAAAGCTCAATCCCAGTGATGACAGTTTTAACCAGCTCACATTTGGCTAAGGGTTACTGCATTTAGCTGCTACCACTGGGCAGACAGCTTTCAGCCCTCTGGAGGCCTTTCCCAGCACATGAAGGTCAAGAGTGAATCACACCTGAATCTCATCTCCTAAGATGAAATACCTTTAGTGACAAAGGGCAGAGCATTGTTTGGGGCTTAGTGTGTTTTTACAAGGCTGCTAATGCAGCCTGCCACAGTGTCCTCCTGGCCAAGCTGGGGAAGTAGAGGTGGAGGTTGGGCAACTGGCTAGACCATCAGGGGCATGGGGTGGTGGTTAATGGCTTGAGGGCTGCTGGGTGGATGGCTACTAGTGGCATTGCTTAGGTGTTGGCAATGGTGTTAAACTGCGTCAGCCCCTCATTAGCAACCTCCGTGAGCAGGCAGAATGCACTGTCAGCAAGTTCATCCGTGACACCAGACTGGGGGAGGAGGATGAGGTTGATGTGCTGAAGGGCAGGGCTGCCATTCAGACCAGTAACCTGGAGCAGAGGCTGACCAGGATTGCCTACTGCAGCAAAGGCAAGCGTGCCTGGGACACAGTAATGCTGTGTGACAGGATGGGCTGGGCTGGACATTAGGACTGCAGAAAAGACCTGGGGGTCCAAGTCCTGCTGGACAAGTTGAATGTGGATCACCCAAGGGGTTTTTGGGTTGGTTTTGTTTTTTTGTAATTGTATGGAATTGTATGCTTGACGAATATTTCCATCTTTATTGTGTTGTAGAGACCTTAGAAAGGGACTGAGTAATAATGCTTGAGATGTTCATAAGCCACGCAAACTGAATTGTACATGAGTGTGTGGGTACTGAGGCAATGTGTGTGATCATGTGTACCTGCCCTGAGGAGGGCAAAGGTACATGAATGGATATGGAATGTGAAGGCTGCATGCTTTTTTCTTAATGAGTGGCTTACAGGAACATTTAATGGAAGTCCTGTGTTGGTGATTTCATTCAAGCAAAGCCATGCTGCAGGGAGAGACATTCGTGGCTTTTTGCTTTTTGCTTTCTTAAGTGTCCAGTAAGCAAGGTGAGCGAAAAAGCAGGTGGCATCCTACGTGTGAACATGAAATCTCTCCTGCTAGATAAAAAATTGAGGTTGCTGCCAGACTGAGAGGAATATGTTTTAAAGAAGGAAGGAATTGCCTTTTTTCCCATTACAGGAGAGTATAAATGCAACCCTTGTGCAGTAACGCTTTTAAGGTTACTCTGGAAATTAGGTTACTGTATTTAACACCTCCTAGCACTTCTTTTAATGGAGTTCCTTGTAACCATTTTTGTCTTCCAGCTCCTTGCAAGTGTTCACTAATAGCACAGCGAGCAGAACTCTGTACGTTGATGAAAAACTACCAGCAAGCTCTTCACGACGCAGATGTCCTCTGCCGAAACAAACCCCACTGGCCTGCGGTACGGTGCTTGCATGTCATAAAAACCAAAATGAAAATGGCTTGTTCTTGAGGTTTCTGTCTGTGGTGGGGACAGTGCTGCTGAGGGTGTTGTTGGAAGAACATCATGGCATTATCAGGACTGGAAATGTCTACTGAAAGCTAAGTTCTTCATAGGACAGGTCTGGAAGGTCCTTACCCTGTCTCCAGCTAATGGGATTTCAGTGTTGGGCAGCTGGGTGATGTGGGGTTTTTTGTGCTGGTGCCTGTTGATCTGTTAGGGGCTAGTGCTGCAGCTTGGCAGCAGAATCGGGTCTGGCAGCCCAGTATGGCCCAGCAGGTCCCTCTGGGATGGTGTGTCCCAGGCAGTGGGTGGCTTTGACAGCCTGCTGGCCAATGTGTCTTTCTGAGGAGTACTTCAGACTGTATTTCAGGATCTTTTTTTTTTATCTCATTTAGTACTAAGAGGTCATCTCTGCAATTCCTGTGTGTGTCATGGTGATTCGTAAAGGGGATTGGGAATTTTTATCATAATGAAAGTAAGTGTTACAAGGAGCACTGGTTTGTGGGCAGTCTGAAGCAAGCATCAGAAACGATGTTATGAGAGAGAAGTGGAAGAAGCACGTGGTGTCTGTCCTTACTGCCAGTTGCCTGAGGCTATACTGGGTGTCTGACAGCTCGCCCACCTAGGATTATATCTCCAGTCAGTCCCTCATCCATCAGTAGGAAAACTGCAGCACAGGTTTGAGTGGATAAAGCCCATGTGTGCTACCTGGAGAGGGTAGCACAGGGAACTGGGGAAGGATTTTAGGCAGGTTGTAGCTGCCTTGCAAAACCTAAGGAGGTATTGTATGAACCCCTCAGCCGCCTGTCTCAGCCCGGGGAGCTGCAGCTAGCTCTCTGTTTGCAGCTGGGGTGAACAGAGAGGTGCTGTTTGCAGCATCTAGTTTCTGACAAGTTAGGTACTTGTCTCTGAAGGCTGTCTGTCTTGGCACCCATTAAAACCTGTCTTATTTGAAAGCAGTTCGTAAGCTTCCTCCCACCTCCAGTTTGCCTTTCTGACCAGGATCATTTCTTATCAAGTCAGGAATCCATCTTGGGTGGCGTTGGCTGGGTTTCTGTGCAGAGGCAGAAAGATGAATTATGCACATTCAGATGTTTTCTTGAATTGTCTTCTCCGTTCTTCCTTGAATCCATGGAAATGTGATGCGTGTCGGTTGTAGGCAAATAGAGATTTCATTCATCACATCTCTAAAGAATGCTAATTGAAAAAGAATTTTGTTATCATGATGTAACAAGCAGTGTCACAGACACATTTCACTTGTGTCTGTGAGAGATTCCATGTAAGCTGTGCTGATCCAGAATCCATGTTCTCCAGGAATCCTGGGCATCTGCTTTGTTTTGTAAATTGCATCCTGTCGTCCAGTGGCAGAGATAAGCTCAAACATGCACTGAGTAGCTAGAAAAAATAAAAACTTAAAAATAGACTATAAAATAAAACTTGTCATGGGAGTAGCTCCTTGGAGGCAATCTACTTACAGTACCTTTTGGCTTATTAATAACTGTCATGGCTCGATGAGATACTGGTGAAGTTCTTGGGTCCACTGTAGTCATTACAGCAATAGACAAGTTGATTTTTATTTTTTTTTTAGTTGCTATGAAAACCAGCTCCTTGGAGTCTTTGAGGCAGAGAGAAATTTCCAGTTGTACTTTGTGTGGCAGATAGAAACAGATGCCCTCCTGCCTGGACCTTACCCTCCAACCCCATGCTTGTCAAGGCCGTGTGAAAGTAGGAAAGGGAAGGTGGCAGCAGTAGTCTCTGAAGCATAGGGGCCTTTAGTTCCTGGCCTGAACTTCTGGTGTTGGATCTTTAGGTATTTTTAGGTATCTTTAGGTCTGTGATTCTATGATTTTGTCCATAGATAGCCCAGCTTAGTTCTCTCCTGCATCCTGGATAAGGAAATGGTTTTTGTAGCCCCAGAGGATGAGGCCAAACAGCACTGTAGCCTTCACAGTGCAGTGGAGTAATTTTGGCAGCCAAGTCGGGCATGTTAGGGCTTGTCTAAAAAGGTTTTACAGAGGCTTTCCAAGCATCAAGATAAGGTCAGGGTTGGGCCTCACAGTACCTCTCACTGCATTCAGAAGAAAATTATATCTCACCTTGAGAGGCTGGTGTGTGCTCAGACTTCTTGTTCAGGTTACCAAATAACATACGTTAATTAACCTGTCCTACCCAGTGCCTGTTACTTGCTTTTGATACAAGCCTCCTTCTTCCTAACAGTACAAAGGTAAAGATTTTAACAGGCCTCAGCTTGAAGGCCTATATTGAAAGAGTGAGGGAGGTACCTGCTTTGGAAGACCGTGTGATACCAGATCTTTTGGTGTTGGTATGAAGAATAGAGAAGCATATCTGTATCTCTTAGACTAGTGAAACTGTACTTTCAGCACAGCCTGGAGATACACATGTGGATCAGAAGTGGACTTGCAGACCATACTTCTGTCTGACAAACCTGAGGCAGATGTTTGAATGCACACTTAGTTTCTTTTCATTGTTAAGAAAGTAATTTTCATAGTCAGATTTGAACTGCAAATTGGTATCTGTGGGGATAAAGTAGGACTTGTCCCCAGGCTGACTATCATACCTGCTGGCCATGGATGTGCTACTCTAGTATGTGGGAGAGGTAGGATGGGCTGAAAGGTTTCTAGTTAAGCATTGGTTAAGTTGCCCTAAATTTATAATGTTGTTGGTCTTCTCTAGCCAAATAAAATAGGTGAAAAATCATCTCCATCCTCGTGAGGAGAAGAGAGAGTGTCTTGAACATAAAATCTTTTGCTCCTTCAGCTCCCACCTGCAGCCTGCCCCATGCCACTGCCTTTTCCATGCAGCTTCACTACTTAAGTTTGCCCTGGTATGTGAAACTGTTCTCTGGGGTATTGAGCCTGGTGGGATATGTAATAGTCTCGGTCCCTGGGGATACAAATACCCTTCTTCATTCTGCATCAGATCTGCCCTGAGGAAAAGAGCGATGTCTTTGGCAGCGGGTGATGCAGCGGTGCGTTCTTGGGGGATCATCTTTCAGCAAAAAGGACTGACTTTCCTTTAGTCATATGTGTCAGAGAGGTTGTTCGCCTGCAGAATGGCTGAACTTCGAAGTTTGCTTGCTGGTGTCTTGCTGCCGCTTCAGAAACGATCTCTAGATCTATATGTTTCCTTTGTGTGAACAGGGCCATTATGTGAAAGCAAAAGCTCTTTCTGGATTGGAAAGGACCGAGGAAGCATTGAAGGAGTTTCTCTATTGTGTTGCCTTAAATCCTGAATGGAGCTCAATGAAGAAAGAAGCCCAAAAGGTACAAAATGTATTTACTGGCCACTTCTTGGCCATCATGCTGCTCTTACTTGTGCAGCCAAGTAAAATTCATGTTATTTTAAGTGATCGTAAACAGCCAAAAGATAATTTGATTTGGTAGGTTCTCCAGAAGACCTTATTAGCACTGTGCTGTGGAAGGTGCCTCTTGGATTTGGTTGATGCCTCAACCAGAGGGAATGTATATTTGTGAATTCCACTGCAAATCTGTAGGTTTGGCCACTGTCATTTGTAGATTACACTTGCAGTATGTCAGCCAGATTTGAGTACATCTGGATTTCATAGGCTTGACGCTGCTAATTTTAGTGCCCATCAGAAAAGCACTTTTTAGTGGGAAGTGGCAGAGGGTTGAGGAGGAGGAACTGTGCGCTGCTCTGTCCTGGAAAAAGTCTTTGTAGCAGTTTGTCCCTTATGGGAAGTTAAACACACAAAGTGCTAACCACAACCATCTTCTGGTTCTCTGTGACCATACAGGCAGCTTTTTATAAAAAGAAATGGGGATTTGGCAAGGCACTTGGTGGGGACTGGTAAGAGGGGGAACAGGCTCTACACAGCTTTTAGCTAGGGGTGAAGTCTGCTTGAGCATAGAGGAGATGGATGCAGGACATGAGGAGAGCTTAAACCCCTCTCAACTGGTTTTGGATGACTTGTGGAGGCAGGGATCTGAGGGTCAGGGTGGAAACAGGTAGGGGCAGAATGCAACGGTGTGCTGCCCCAGGTAATCCTGAGGTGCAGAAGCCTTTGGGGAAGGGAGGTTGGCACCAGAAGAGCATCTCAGGATGTGTCTGTGGTTATGGTGGGGACAGCTATTCAGGGTTCCTTGGCATTGAGGAATGCGGGATGTCCTGCTTGTCACAAGCTTTTTGGCATCCAGAAGCTGTGAAGTTTGTGTATCTGTGTTCATACAAACATAAATATCTATGTCATAATGGTTACTATTTTTTCTTTTTTCCTCTCTCTAACTGACTAGATAATGTGTGAGATGTTTTTCCCAGCCTTTGAAAATGTGCATGATAGTCTAACAGCACCTTTCTCTAGTCGAACGTCCTATACAAGATTGAAACCTGCATTTCTGAGTAGCATAAACACACAGTCAGCTGTGGAAGATAGCTCTGTTGCTGGGTCCTCAAAGGTAAAGTAAGAAGCGTTCAACGTAAAAATACGAATAGTAACACAAGATTCTGTCTGATCTGTGTGACACTGTCTTTGTCTTCACTCGCGTGGGCATGTACTTTCATGGTCAGCTTGTTTTTTCCATTGCTGTTGGATCTCTTGTTGGGATGTACTCCCTCAGAAGAGTAAGAGAATGAAACTCTTGCTTCAGAAAACAATGTGGTGCCTTCATGTGGGGGTCAGTTATACTTGTGGGCGTTTCTTTTCCACTCAGGGTTTTAGTATGACAGGAACATAATTTCTAGAGACAGGATCTGTAGGGAGAAAAGTGGCCCTGTTCTGTGCAACTGGAGATCGGCTGCCTTTGATACAGACCTTTCTCCCTTGTTCATTGTAGGGACATTCGCCTGTTGGTGATGTATACAGCTAATAAAAAAAAAATCCAAAACCGAAGCAAACTTGTGTAATGCTGTATATAACTGTTCTTAATTTTTTTAGGATACTGTGTTCAGGCTAACAAAAACCCCGTCCCAAGAATCTGATGTATTTAGAAGCACTGATTCTCCTGTTTCCCACCATGTTCTGGATCTCTATTTTGAAGACAACAAGAAGTCTTTGGGAGCTATTCTCTCCAGTTTACCTGGGGTTGGCTTAAAAAGAAAGCTGTCCAGTGATATGAGGGACTTACAAAGCTTGGATGTCCCCAATAAGATTCCTAAAAAAGGTTTGTGTTGTGGCTTAGAAAAGGGATTTCTCTTGCACATACTGAAAAATAGTAAACTTTTCCTGCTCCCTTTTTGAAAGTGTTGATGAAACATTCTCTACAGGGATTGGAATAATATTTTGTTGTCTGGTGTGTCTGTTCCTGCCGTAACAGCCTATTTACCTTATTCCAGAGCAGTTTTAATTCATTAAATGAACACTGTGTTTTTCTTTCTCAAATGGGACCTTTCCCGTGTGTAATCCACTAACAGTTTAGTCTTTGTGTTGCTGGTGCCATTTCCATTTTCTGGGTCTCAGAGGTATAGTTGAGTTTCATTGTCTTTCTATATGAAGGAAAGATGCAGTAAGCCTGGAAACTAATCTTAAGCTGGCATCAGAAACAGTCACATGCAACTTGACATGAAATTTTCCAAGCAAACAAAGAAGCCTTTTAAAGGGTAAAAGCCCCCAGGTTTTCTGTCACTTGATAACTGTGCTTACAATTAGGTTGCTTCTCAAGCTTCTAACAAAGACCTCCAGAGTGGTTTTAGTACTCGGGATAAAAATGCTGAGGGCAGGACATTGCACTGAGTAGTGAAGTAACTGGTTAAAAGGGAATTTGAAAATGCTGCTATGCTAGGTTTTGGTTTGTTTTCTTTCCTTAAAGGAAAAAAATAAAACCAACCCACGCCTTGGTAAATCTGATTTCTGCCTGGCAATATTACAAGTCTTCAAGTGCTGCTGTCTGTCTGCTACCTCTGCAAATGATCAATGTATGGCTAGTTTCTGATCATGTTGCTGTGAAGGGAAGAAAACCCTGTCTGTGAACTGCAGACTCAGTAAATAGATTGTGAAATCTGACCTGCCTGTATCTTCACAGCAAAGGCCAGAGATCGTATTTTACCCATAACCATTAATTTCTAGTCTGTGCTAGATCCTGATGCCATGTTACTGTTTGCAGAATTAACACAGTTAGGTTCTTGCTATTGCTAAATGCTAACATGTGAGATGTAGGTTAAAGATAACACTGTTTTTTCTTTGTAGGCCACACACCACCAGTGCCCTCTCCCCTGTCCCATCTGTGCTCGAGATAAACCAGATGCTGAGCATAAGTTACACTTTTAACAAGACATCCTAGTGTTTTAGCTTAACATAAAAAGCTGAGCTTTTTTTAATGGTCAATAATTTGGTTAATAAAAAGGACATGGAGGCAGTATTCATGGCTCTGTTGCAACTCATCTCTGAGCAACAAAGATGTGGATTGTAAAAGAAGTTGTAGAATCTGCTTGTATAAATGTCAGCAGAAGCTCGAGCTGATAGCTCTTGAGCTTAAATGCTGCTGCTGCTGCTGTGAAGTTTGAAGCCCATACACTTTAAGCATGGTAACTACAGGGATATATATACCTCTCCCAAAAAACAGGGTGGGCAGAATTTTAAGTGATGTGTTTTGCCTCCAGGTCTGCAGAGTGCTGAGCTAGTGAAATCAGTATTAGCTAATGTAACTCAGTAGCCCTTAAAGTTTAAGCTGTCTGAAACTTGGGATTTGCACAGCAGCCTGGTCTAGAAGAATTTAAGCTTTTTTTTTTTATACTTGTAAGAAAAATCACCCATGCTGAGAAATCTATAATAAACACTGATGAAATAGTTTGACTGTGTGTAAACAAATTAAATTCTGGACTTAATGTACTTTAGAACATCTGGCCTGGCTGATGTGGGAGTGGTGATGGTGGTGGGAAAGCAATAGCAGAGTGTTTTTGAAAAATAGACTTTAAAAAGAACACCAACAAAAAAACTTCGGAGAAGCAAATCATGGGTATTCAGCCTGAAGTGCTTTCTCTGGCCATAAACATAATTCTCTGCTCTCCAGAAGATTTCCTGCCAGAAACTCTGAAACTTGGATGGAAAATATGTTTGTTTTGAACAAAACTTCAAAAAAGAGAAGAGAGAAATTAGGTTCTTTATGGAAAACCAACTTAAACAGCATCTGAATTTGCAGTAATAGTTAAATATTGACTATATTGTCTTCTTAACTACTTAGATGCAGATGTTTTACCTGAAAACACCACCATCACTTCAAATGAAGTACCAACAACTCTGGTGGATGCATCGGACTTTGAGTGTTCCCTCTGTATGAGGTAAAACTGCATTGACCTGGGATTAAGCCTCTATAGCTTCTGAAAAAAGTTTTCATGGTGTCAGAAGGGGAACTGGCCAGAGAATGTCTAAATCATTACTCTGTTCCTTTTTGCTGAACCTTTCATCTGCTGAGTCTTTACATCCGTGATTTTGTCCATTGTTCATCACTCTTAAAAATGAAAACCATTTTTATATCCTTAGATAAAACTCACCTGTGCATTATACAGAAGCAGGAAAGTAAGAGATGTCTAGGTCTAGTTGCTCCTCTCTACAGTTTGGGAATCTGAATTGTCTTGTGTTGGCAGCTTAGCTTTTCTGTTCCATGTTTTTATGTTTAGGTTGTTCTATGAACCTGTTACCACTCCCTGTGGACACACCTTTTGCCTCAAATGCCTTGAGCGTTGCCTCGACCATAATCCACATTGCCCGCTCTGCAAAGAAAAGCTGTCAGAAGTAAGTATGTCTGTGCCCCAGTTAACAAAGAATGCACAAAGCTGTGTTCTTCTGAAAGCATCTATGAGTGGATTTTCTGTGCTGTACTTGCAACCTGCATCAAAAGAAGTGTGTCCAGCAGATTGAGGGAGATGGTTCTCCCTCTCTGGTCTGGCGAGACCCCACCTGCAGTACTGCATTCAGCTCTGGGATCTGCAGCACAGGAAAGACATGGACCTGTTGGACCAGGTCCAGTGGAGGGACATGAAGATTATCAGAGGGCTGGAGCACCTCTCCTATAAGGACAGGCTGAGAGAGTTGGTGGTGTTCAGCCTGGAGAAGAGAAGGCTCTGGAGAGACCTTATTGCAGCCTTTCTATACTTAAAGGGGCATAGTAAGAAAGATGGGACAGACTTTTTAGCAGGGCCTGTTGTGACAGCACATGGTGTAATGGTTTTAAACTAAACAAAGGTAAATTTAGACTAGATATAAGGAAGAAACTTTTTACAATCAGGGTGATTAAACACTGGAACACGTTGGCCAGAGAGGTGGTAGATGTGCCATCCCTGGAGACATTAAAGATCAGGTTGGGTGGGGTTTTGAGTAACCTGATCTAGTTGAAGATGCTCCTGCTTATTGCAGGGGGTGTTGGACTAGATGACCTTTAAAGGTCCTTTCCTACCCAAACTATTCTGTGTTTCTGTGAAACCAGAACAAGACAATCGTACCCACAGCATAAAGCTGTGCACAGACCTCATTTGCAGTTATGATTAAAACTTTGAGTGACATTTATCCTGAAGTGGAAGGCTTCAAAGGAGGAGGAATCCATACAATCCTGACTAATGTGCTGTTTGGCCTAAGTAAAGGGGTGGCTTGAGAGGAAGAGATGTTACCTGTCTTCTTATCAGACTTAAGAGTTGATTATTCTTTGCAGTTTCTGGCAAGCAGAACTTACAAGAAGACCATCCTTACAGAAGAGCTCATCGTCCGTTACTTGCCAGAGGAATTATCTGAAAGGAAGAAAGTTTATGAGGAAGAAATGAAGGAACTGTCAAAGTAGGTGCTCTTTTAATTACTGGCAGCTGTTAGAAAATTTATTTTTGAATCTGAATTAGTGCTTCATTTGCTTATGAAAATGCACAGAATGAATGAATTTGTAAATGAACCTGCCAGATGTTTCATACTTTCAGTATGTTTGTTGCAGATAAATATGTAACAATATGCTTGGATGGTAGAGAGACACAACAGTATTCTTAAAAAAGATAATTGTTTTTTCCTCTGAAACAGCATAAATGCTTATAAAGTTATAATGAGGGTTTTCTGGGGATAGAATTCCAATTATAAATGGGTTGTACTTCAGGTCAGGAGATGTTCAAGGATCCAGTTTCATCACTGATTTGTGGATATTACACTACAACTCAACTAGAAACAAAAAACATGCAAGTAAGCCCGAAAAAAATGAACGGATTAGTGGGCTTCTTGAAAATTAAAGGGCTTCAACTGAGCTTGGGAATTCTCTACCATCTTGTTTTGAACATGGCTAGTTCTTGGGTACTACATTACTGCAAAAGGTTATCACCAAGATCTTTCCATGAATATTTAAGCTAGATGTATTGGTATGTACGTATTTAGGAAATCGTCTATAATTTCCTGACTTTTCCTATATGGAAGTAGATTAGAGGGATTGTTTCCTTAATACCTTAAACAGAAAGAGTCCTGAAATATGTTTGTCTTGTAAAAATGACAAACCTCAACCAGATACACGTTTATGAAAAATGAATCTAAGGAAACCACTCTCTGTTATATTAAGGGTTTATGCTGAATATAGCAGTACCCAGAAAATAGCTGAACTTTTTTTTTCTTTTTTTAACAATTATCTTACAGTTTGAATAAAGATGTTCCCATTTTCGTGTGTACCATGGCCTTCCCTACCATCCCTTGCCCACTCCATGTTTTTGAGCCTCGTTATCGCCTAATGATAAGAAGATGCATGGAAACTGGTACCAAGCAATTTGGCATGTGCTTAGCTGATGAATTAAAAGGGTAAGGAGATGAGTGAAGGATATCCTGTTGTTGCAGAGGCTGTTGTGACACTCATGGAGTACCACAGCACAGTATACTTGTCTCCCCAAACCACTATGGTTCCTTCCAGTCCTAATACTAAGTTTGTGGGCTTTTTAGTTTTGTATCTTAAACATTCCTTTTGACACAAAGATGTAATTTTTATTGCTCCTCTGTTGGATAGCAAGAACACAACTTACCCTGCTACTAAAGGCTCCAAAAATAGCACTTAATTGTGTGGTTGGAAAGCTTTTTATCTTGTTTATTCTATTGAAGCTGACTGTCTGGATAAAGTGGCTGCTCTGTCTACTCAATTTTAAAAAACAAAAATACACCCCCCCTCACTCCAGAAAGAAAAAAAAAAAAAAAAAAACCAACAAAGAAAAAAACCAAACCACAAAACCAAACAAACCCAAAACCAAGCAAACAAAAAACCCCCAACCAGCCAAACCTGCCATAGCTTTTCTGAATGAGACAAAGTATACCCTTGGCTGAGAAGTCTGTTTTGCTGCTGAATGTTGAATTTTGATGTTTGTCTTTAGCACTGTGTTGCAGTGTCTAAGCAGTGAGTGGGTTACATTGTCTTTCTATATGATCTTACCTTTAAATCATTTTTGTCAATCTGACACTGATGTGTTTCCAGCTCCCCATGCAGAGACTGACTAGATGACCATTAAAGGTCCTTTCCAACCCAGACTAACTTGTGATTCTGTGAAAATGTTCAGGTTTTTAAGTCCCAGAATCATAGGATCATAGAATGGTTTGGGTTGGAAGGGGCCTTAAAAATTAGGGGGTTTGTGTCAACGGGATAAGGAGATGCTTGTGGGGAAAAAAGAGGTGGTCTTAAGAGAGATGCAATAGATAGTTGCTGACATCAGAAGATACGTTGGCATGGTGCAGACTGTAGAATGGATGATGAGTATGAGAGTTTTTAAGAACACATTAGACAGGCATCCTCGGGAGCTGCATTTTTGTAGTTGATCATCCCTGGAGCTGAGAGAAGGGCAGTCATACTGGGCATTGACAGATGGCAGTAAGAATACAGGAAATGCTACAGCTTCCAGTCAGCCCTGGCTGTGCTTCATGCTAGTTGGTGTGCTGTCAGTGCTGCACTCAGTGGAGTTCAGGATCCAACAGCAGTGATGCTCCACGGTTTCTTCCAGGACTGTTACCAGTTTTCTGGAAGCAATTGATTGTAAGAGTGACAACAAAATGACCCTTGGACATCAGTAATAACTCCCTTTTCATCTGTGAAAGCTTGTGGAAGAGCCAGACTTACTTGGAGTCAGGTCCAAAACAGAGAGCCAAGGGGTTACAATCCCAAAAACACAAGAATTGGGTTTGTTAGATAGTGTCACAAAGGGTATTTTAAAATGCAACCAATACAGTTAGATTTTTATATTTTGTCTGTTTTGAGTTACCAAAATAATTAAACTTGTTAAACATGGTAACTTAAATCAAACACTGAAGCGTAGGAAGCCTTCATCTGGAGACACCTGGCAGGTGGCTGTAGTTTCTTACACAAGTAAAGAAGTTACTTTGTTTATTCAGAATTGTGAAATCAACTGGGAATATAAAAAGTGGGGAAACCTGTTTTGCTTCATCTACCATGACATGGATACATACTTCCCTTGAAAGACACAGTGACAAGACATGGTCAGTTTGTTACCTTCCTCTGTTTTATTTCTCCAGTTTAACTTAAAACTAGGAGAATAAAATTAGCTATTAATATGTCAGTACATTTTATACCCATCTCCAGGTGTTTTCCTGTCTCTCTTTGATTAAAGTCACTTTCTATTCCAAAGTAACTTCTCAAAGAAAGACAAAAAAAGAAAAAAAAAAAAAAATGTCACTTCTAGATTAATTTCTAAATTCAGTAGGAATGTCACTAATATAAAACAATTGTTGTGTAGTTGTTTAAATAGCATTTAATCTAATATTCCTATAATAAACCAGCTTTTTGTAATCCCACTGGTAGAGCACCAGGGCTTAGCTGTGTGCAGCTGTACGCTTCTTGCTCCTCCTCAGTTTGTTTTGCACAATGGCCAAGAGAGAACAGTTCTTCACAGTGGTGAGCTTTTTTTTTCCCTCCCTCCCAAACCTGTGATTTCTGGTAGAGTAGGAACAGGAGTCATTTCCCCACAAGCATTGCTTTTTCTTCATCACTCCAATCTAAGAAATGGCCAAGCCCTGGTAAAACAAGCATTTCCCTGATGAAACATCATATCTTGTGGGTATTTGGTATCTTGAGATGAGACTAGATAGAGTGCATTGTGCTGCTTAGGAGTAAACTGAGGTGCAGAGCTGCAAATATTGGCAAATCACCGTATTGTGGTGAAGTCATTATGTAGTCAGCCTCTCCAGTGAACTCAGTGCAGCACAAATGTAGAGTGGGTAAGTCTGATAATTTAAAGCAAGAACTTGTTGCATGCTTGTTTCCAGGGTGTGATTAAAACCTGTGCCTACTTTAAATAGATTAAAATGTGTTTTCTAAAGAGGGTATTTTTGGTTTGTTTTAGTGGGGTGGTTTTGTTTTGGTTTTTTTTTTTTTTTCAGTTTGTGGTTTTGAGTTTGGTTTTTGGTTTTGCCTTTTTTTTTTTTTTTTTTTTTTTTTTTTTTTTTTTAGTCTGTTCTATTAAAGGGAACAGTGGCAAGAAAAATCTTGCTGCATAGAGGCATTTTCCTTCTAAAGCCTTTAGTTTTCTTGCTTATACCTTGCAGTAGGGGTACTACTGACCCAGCCCTGCATTTGTTCCTGGAACTCCATATGGTGTCTTTACCCCTCTTGTTTTCTTTGCAAACCAGGTGAATTTGCCACCATCAGCTGGCAATTCCTGACGTATTTATTTTTCTGTCCCTTCCCAACCCTCCCACCCTGCAAATATACTCCGAAAATGCTGCTGCTCTGAACCTTTGAGGGAAGGCAGAAAGGGTGGGGGTTGTGTGGCTTACGTGAATAAGCAGAAATGTATTGTCACCAAAGTAGGATCCTCATTCAAATAAGAAGTGGTGACTTAGGCCCAGTATTTTTCCTGATGTCTGTAAACACTTGTTGATGACTTCCACTTTTATGCCCTTCTGTCATTTCAGATTTGCAGATCATGGCTGTATATTAGAGATCAGGGACGTAAAGTTTTTTCCTGATGGACGCTCAGTTGTTGATACAGTTGGTGTCCGTCGTTTTAGGGTCTTAAGCCATGGCCAGCGAGATGGATATAACACAGCAAACATCGAGTATCTTGAAGATAAAAAGGTGATCTATGGTGCAAAGTTATTCATACCCATGTATTGCTGGATTCACTTAAATAGCCTTTCCTTGTTGCATTTCAAGCTAGCTGTGCATTATTTTTAAAACAGTATTATAAATACTAAAGCTCTGTTTTGAAAACCATGGAACAAACTTTGTCTCTTCCTTCCCTTTCTTCCTTTCTACCCTTACTTCTGCTTGAAGTGTTACACTCCCTTCACTGATCTCAAAGTAGCTGCTGAGACTGAGGTGCTCAGGTCTGTCACAATGCGTGGATGAGGTCAGAGTAACATTGAAACCCTTCTAAGAGCACATGCCCCTCATGTTCTCTTCTTGCACTGAACTCACAGTTGGCAGATTTCATATGACCTCCAGGCTCTCATTTACAGAACAGGTCCTCAAACAAAAAAGTGAGAGTCCGCTCTTAAAATGAGATCTTAGTAACATGTAGTTAACCACGTTTGTACAAACATCCATCAGAGCTAGCTGAGAGCAAAGAAATGCAGAGAGGGGAGTAGTTTTTAAAAACAAGTCCTCTTCACCTGCATCAAGTGAGGTGCTTGTGATGGGTGTTGTCCAAAGGGTGAATTTTTGGCCATGCTTAATGGTGACTTCCTGGATCATCTTCCGAGCATGTCTGTAAAACCCAGATCTATCTTAACATTGAGTTTAATAGTAATCTCATGCCAATTAATGAAGTCCAGTCTGGTCATATAGCTCTTCAGCATGCTCTCACAGTTCAAGTGCAAGTCTGTAAAGTCTTAGTAGGGCTTTTCTAACCTGAACAGGGTGATGCAGTTATTCGCCAGGGAACAAAAGGCAGAGTGCATGGATGTGCCTTCCCCTGCGAAAGGTTGGAGTAGGTAGTCTGCCAGAGTGAGGGCTCTGCTGTAAAGGGTAGTAAAACACAGGTAGCCAGGCACTGCTTGTGAATGGTGCCAGAGACCACCCTCTTCATAATTAGAGTGAGATCTACCTTGTCTCACTTGAGAGGCCAACGTCCATGTTCAGCACCCTACATTCATGTTATATCTGATGGTGAGAAGCCTCAGCCCAAAGCTGCCTATTTTATCTTCTCTTAGATACCTACCTTAAGATGAGATTAATTACCCTCCAGAGCTGTTTCTTCTCAGCTGTGAAGGGCATCCAGAGCAGCTATCTCAGATGTGCATCCGAGTAGCACAGATGAATCACACCACTGGTGTGTACAGATTATAGGGGGAAAAACCAAACCAACTGACCAAAAAACCTCCGAAAAACCAAATCACCAATTTGTAGTGGGTTTTTTTGCTTATGCTTTTTTGTTTTCCCTAATAGCTAACAGGCCTGTGCAACTTGAACACTCTTTGCCTCAGTGAGGGTATTTATTTATTTTTAATGTCCATTCCTGGTATTGGGAAAGCATCCATTTTCCCTGCTTCCTGTCTGCTCAGGTGTCTGCCCTCCTCCTCCTCTTCCTCCTTGGCTGTCCTTCCATGGCTTTAACACTGGTATAAAATACTGCTGGTCTCTGAGGGCTGTAGACCCCCTGTCTCTGCACTCGGTGGCAATAGTGTTTGTTTTGTTTTGTCAGACAATATACCAATGTTCTTTCTGAACTTTGAAATACACCTTCTGTGACAGGGACTCGAGGTTTGGTGTTTGAGATGATTAATATGATATCCCAGGATTAGAGAGCAGATTTCTGCTCTGCCAGCATTTGGAAATGGATATTAATAAGACAGTAACTGCTTCAAGAAATGTCACTTCAGAACGCCCAGGGGAGGGTAAAATGACTCCAGCATCACAGGTTTGAAATCTGAGACTTGAGTGCAGTTTGCATAGATAAGGACATTTGAACAGCTGTGGTTACTGCATTATTTTGCTTCTGCGGAAGCATGGACTCCATGGTATCAAACCTGTTTTGTTCCATCTCCCTTCTTTTAACAATAAGGTTGAAGGACCAGAATATGAAGAACTTGTCCGCCTTCATGATTCAGTTTATGATCAAGCCGTTGCCTGGTTTACTTCTCTCAAAGACAATATGAAAGTGCAAATTCTCAATCATTTTGGGTCCATGCCAGGAAAAGAACCAGAGCCACAGGTAATAAAACCTTCCTACTTACGCAGTCTTATTCTATGTAGAATTTTTATACAAGACTATTTTCTGACAGGCTTTTGGTGTTTTTTTTTACATTCTAAACTCTTATTTACTCAATTTCGGTCTATTGGCATGGAGCATGGAAAACAATATCTCAGTGTAAGTGGGTGTCCGAAGAGATCGGACTTAATAGTGTATTTAGATAAGGCGAGCACCTGAAGTTAAGTGTTTAGTTGTTGCTTGAACTGTTTTGTCGTGACTTTCTTAGCAGATAGAAGGTGGGAAGGAAGGTGATGTTCTTCATGAAGCGGTGATAGTGAATACGTGATTGCATGTCTTTCCATCCTTTTGCAGAGCAACCCCAGTGGTCCTGCCTGGTACTGGTGGCTCTTGGCAGTGTTGCCTTTGGAAAACAGAGCTCAGCTGGCTATACTGGCTATGACCTCCCTTAAAGATCGTCTTATTGCCATCAGACGCGTACTGATATTTGTGACTCGCAAAAGACCCAGATAACATGGACTTCAGTTGTGAGTGGGCACCCAGAACATCTCACAACAGGTTGTTCTGGGGGAGGGCAAAGGGGGAGGGTTTTTTGTTTTTGTTTTTTTTAAAGATTCCTTCAAAAAGGAACAGCCCTTTCTGACTGCGTCCTGCATCCATCGATTGCATTGGTTTGTTATCCTGGGTATTCACCAAACCTTGCACTCTCTTCTGTTGTCCTGGTGAAATCTGAGCCTCTACAAAGCTGTGCTATGCTTTGAGCATAGCTGATGGATGCAGATAATTGCTTCAAAGTACTACGAATAGATTTGATGTTTCTAGCCTGCAAGAGAGTTAAGTACTAGAGTAGCACCATTGGCCTGCATGTGTTTGGATTTCCACTTGGTAGGAAAAGGAAACTGGACAGTGGATTGAAGAGGTGTTTCCTAGACTTTCTTGAAAGCAGTGAATGGAAGAGGAGTTACGCTGCCTGGCAGAAGTATGCATGAAGACTGTAGCCAACAGAATGCTCTGTCAGTGAATCGCTAGGCAGTCTGTCATACACCTGCATCTTTCTCTTCAGCAAATAGCAGTCTACGAGGAAAAAAATATCAAGCCGTTCGTGGTCAAGGCATCCAAGGATGTTTGTCTGAAAGAATAATAGCTACTGAATAAGTACACTATTCAGTAGCCTTAGGTAATCCCTCATGTTGTGATTTATGTTTTGTAGCGGATTGAGTATGTACAAAATGTTTGGAAAGGTGTACTTTGGTTTATTTAAAAAGAAAAATCAAAGTAACCCTAGCTGGTCTTACTGCTAAATTCAAGTCAAACCGGCTCCCTAAAGTATGATGAACGCTGCTGTGAAATAATGATTTCACCCCAAGTACAAGGGAGGCATGCTGCAACTTACTCTGAATGCCTGCTCTGCGAGCAAGATCAGCGAGGATGAAATGCTGGGAGGTGTTCATCTCAGTCCTCCTGCAGTGTCATGCCAGCCTCCCTTACACTGGGGTGATCTCTACTGAACATGTTTCAAACCAAAAGTATTGTAGTTTAGTACCAGTTGCTGTATGTGATGGAAATCAGTCCACAATAACACCATGAAAGGAGGCACAAATCAAACTATAAAGGCAAGTCTCAATGCAAGCTTAAGTCAGGTGTTAACCTTCGTTTGTCTCTTTGATTATTTTTTAATGTATTGTTTTGTTAATATCTAACTTTGACAGCTATTAAATTGATCGCTTGTCAGTCCGATGATAAACATTTGCTCACTGCCAATGAAATAACTCACAGTGTTACCAATTCAATTGGCATAGTTTCCTATAAGTAGAACTGATACTACCAACAGGGAAAAAAAGTTGACTTGAATCTCCATGTGCTGCAAGCGTAGCAAGACCAATGTAAAGGCTTGTTCATGTGCAGAAGTCTGGGAAGAAGGAATGGCTGTTTACCTAAATGGTCAAAGTGCCTGATTTCTTTTTTAGTTATTTTGTCCTTATTTGTCAATGAAGATGTATTTAATTTTTTTTTCCACTTTGCACATGAGTTCTGGAAGAAGACTGCATTAAAATGCAGTGATTGAAATATATTTACCTGCTCTCTTTGGGTATTGTAGTTGTAACCTGTGTGGTCTGGGAAACAAATATACAGATTTTTTTTTCCTTTCAGCAAATGGCTACCACAAATGGTTTCTGTAACATACCCTGAATGTACTGTAACTGCCTCTACCTGAACACGCCTTTTCTATTTAAATAGTTTGTAAGTGTATTCTCTGAATTGTGAAGTGTGTTAACTTACAACCAATGATGTCATAACCTCTACAGTAGCCTTCTGCAAGTTTTGCTACCATCACCAAAATACACAAAACATAAGTTGAATGCATTTCCTTCAGGATTTGAAGGTGAGGAAGTCACTGAAGTATTAAGGAATTGTTCTGTATATGGGGAGGAAGTCAGTAGATCTTCAACCCACTGTCAGCTGAGCTACCGAAGGGTGGTTTCGCAAACTAATTCTCAGACCAGAAGATGGACTGTGTTTCATCTTGCAGTCCTTTCTGTTCAGCTTCCTGTTCTTCCCACGCCTTTCCATGCTGTGTATTTCTTCTGGTGTCGCTCATCTTGCTCCTTTGTGTGTCTGGCCTAGTTTTGAGTATTACTAGTTTAGCTGCAAGGGGATGCTGATGGTATTTGTGTATTGCTGGTCCCTGATCTTACATGTGCTTAATTTTACATATAGGAGTGCATTTAAGAAAAAAAAAAAAATAAATCAAGGTGCTAGTTAGTGTCTTCTTGGCTTTGCCTGAGTAACTAATGTGAATATTCTTCTTTGCAAAAGTGATTTTTCAAGATATCTACTTTTGAGGTACTTCTGAGAGGAAACCCTATGGAACAAGAGAGGTTGTTTACTGCTGTTCTGTAATGTGTAGGGACACATTCTGCATGGAAAGTGACATTGCTGTGTTCATGAAGGCCTGCATCATTAATGGAATGATAGTTATTGGAAAGAAAGCTGAACAGTAGAGGGATTTTTTTTAGTCAAGGTTTAAAGCGGTTTGTGGTATATATTTCAGTGGCTGATGTTTTGGATAAATGATAACATAGGAATTGTCTGTGTATGGATGCAAATAATCATTAGCAGCCCAAAGCTGACATTTCTTCCAAAACATGGAATGCTGATCAAATAGCAAAGCTTTAATAAATAATAAAAAGGAAAAAAAAAATCACCACTGCCCTGTGGTACTTGCTTTCTAAGGGAAAGTACCAATTTCATTGTTACCAAATTCTCTTCTGCCATATAATCTCTGCAGCATCCAGCAGTACCTCATGGGAGAAGCTAGCTGTCTCATTCCTCTCTAGAGGAAATGTCCACGTTATGGCCGATCTTGCTTAGATGTAACTTACCGCCAAGGTACATGTGGAAGCACTGGAGCTGAGCTCCTGGAAGAGATAGACAGGATCTGTTGCCTTTCTAGCTCATTACACTTTTCTTGCTTGCTGTCCAAGCAAGGATGCTGGGATATATGATGAGTCTTTTCACTGTGGTGAATGTGGCCCTTCTTTATACATCATAAAGAGGCCAAAAAGAAAAAAAAAAAATCCCTCTACCTCTACACCTGTTGTTCACCTGTAGAGCTTCAAGCTACAAAATGATATATATATTTTAACCTTTTTTTGTCTTTCAGAAGCATACTAATTGTTTGCCACTGAGGCCTTTTATCTACTGTATTTTAATATGTTCATTTGATAGTCATCAAGATCTCTTTGTACTTCTAACCTGTAGATCTTGTCATGTTTCTTACTGCTCCTTTTTCCTCGTTCTCCAGTCCACTTTTAAATTGATAAATAGAAAGCTGTACACTCTCTATTCCTGTTACATTTTACACTAGTGGAACTGGTATTTTGGTAGCGCCTTAATTTTGCAGTTGTGAAATGATTGTATCAACTCTTATCTGGGGCTTCTGACCAGATTTAAACGAGTAATGTAGATAAACTTGAAACCATTTTTTACTGTTTTAAAGCTAGTTATGAAATGGAGTGTGTACATATGTATAAATATAAATTATTAATCTGCACCTTTTTGTATCTAGTAAATACAGGAGAAGTTCATGTTCTAACCACATTTGGCACTCTTGTTGCATAAGCAAAGCCAAAACTTTTTTTAAAAACTGCAATGTTCATTTCATGTATATTTGCAATATTCATGGAAAATGTATTTAATTTATGTGATATTTGGAATAAAACAGTTTGAATTTTTAAGAGCGTGAGTTTGTGGGAAAGCTGTATTGCTGTGTGAGGGTTAAGGGCCAGACCTGTGGTAAATACGGTCTGAACAGAAACAAGCAGCTGGTGTGCTGCTGTCAGAAGGAGAGGATGATAGTGTGATTTACCTGACAGGAGCTGCAGGATGAGAATTGATCTCATGAAGTTTTAAGAAGCAAATGGCATCCCAGAAGTAGTGGTTAGATGTTGGTGTTCATAAGTTGTATGGCAGAGGTTTTAGCCCCAGTACAGGAGAAGAGGGGGAGACTTTAAAGGATGTGGTATAGTGGGGCTTGCTGTGGGGACCTGGGGCAGCCTGTGACTGGGTATGAATGGAAGGGGAGGATTCTGGAGGTCCCCAAAATGTGGGGAAGGTAAGGAGCCCTCAGCAGAGGTGGTATGGGAAAGATAGTCAGGAGTGGGATGCGACAAAGGTGGGAGAGGGTCATGCAGTGGGTTCTTCCTTTTGTACCTTCTTGGTTTTCTTAGCCCTAAGCATGTGACCTGACTGGCTGCAGGGGATAAACTCAGAAAATACGGTTATGCTTGGCTAAGCCCAGTGAAATAAAGTACCTTCAGGTTGCTGTGAGATGGAGGCAGTGTTCCACGCAGAGGCCCTGGGCATGGCTGGCACCAGTTGGAGGGTGGTGGGACTCCGGTCTGGCTCCAGTAGCAGCAAAGTGCAGTTGTGGGAGGACAAAGCCGAGTGAGATTGTGGAGGTCATCTCCCACCCCTCAGCTGTGCCCCACTGCCAGCCGAGCAAAACCACTCTGAACGCATTTTTTTGTAAATACTAGCTTTTTGCTTTTTTCTTTTTCCTTTTTTCTTTTGGTCTTGGATTGACTTTGGCCTTTGTGCCTGTATTCACTGAATGTCTGAGCAAACAAACAGCAGTTACAGGACTGCTCTTCTAAAAGGAGTTGCAAGCGTGTGTTGGAGTACACATGTAAACGCTGCTTGAGCTGCTTTGATATGTTAGACAGCATTCTTAAAACCACTCCTTTCACTAAAGGAGATGGGGAAAGATGACTGATCAGGCTTTCCCTTTTGTTATCCAAATCTTTGGGCATCTCAAGACTTTGAGAGCAATGGAAGCAAAATAACTGCACAAACTCAGTAAATGTTATTAGGAATTTTTTCTCTATGTCCTTCACTAGGAGATGTTGAGCCTTGCAAAGGCAGCATGTTAAATTGTGCCCGTTTCTCTGAGCCATAGAGTGATGCCATTCCTAAAGCATGGAAATCTTAGTGCTCTGTTGTCTTCTTTGCATTGCTCTCTGCTTCATTAAACTGGGAATTCAAAATAACACTGCTTGGTTCTGTCCAGCAGCATTTAATTTGGAAGGCTGAGCACTTGCTGGAACCTGTTGGCTATTGAGCCATAGAATAAGAAAAAATCTGGACCAAAAAATCCAAGACTCCGTATGGGGTGGAAAAAAAATGTGAATCCATGCCAGTGCTTTCCTTAGTTCTTCTAATGAATGTGTGTACTACACTTGCAGCTAAAAGACAGACATGTTTTCAATCGTATTTACATTACATGATAGGAACAAGTTTCTAAATCGAGATGAATATCACTTGCTGACAACTTTTATAGCTCTGTTCTGCCATATGTGGGTTTCAGCCTTGTCTGCTAAATTTGGGACTTTGTGCATGCATGGAAGAAATGTCTTCACTTTTAAATGTTGCTTACGTTTTATTCTCATAAACATCTGCTGTTCTTTTTGTGCAA